TAACGTGTTATAATGCTATATCTTCCTCTTCTGGCCAGTTGGAATGGATGGCTTTGTATACCTATACAATAATTTTGAAGAAATAATTGGTTCGAATTCTGCGTGCCTGTTTTACATAAATTAAATGATTTAAGCAAAAAACGTACGAGAAAGGAAAACATGAAAATATTATCATAAGCATCAGTATTTAAATACAATAACAAAATAATACAAATCTAATATATTAGGTTAGATTAGGTTTCCCATGTCATAGTTTTACATAATTGTAAGATTAAGAGAATTTCTAATTCTTTAAACCTGATATTAAACAGGTTTATCAGCTACTAATTTTAGTTCAACACAACACATTTTGAGGATCTCTGAATATCGTGACCAACATGTGCCGACAATGGCTTCAGCTATTTAGTCGTATTTTGTGATGTGCATCAAAGTGGGGGTTCCTTTCCCCGGGATCCATCCGAGTGTATATATATTGAAGATAGAATATGTCTCAACTGCTAAACCTTGTTCGTTGGCTTCAGAGTTGGTCAGTCTCTAGCCTCTAGCAGTTGTAGTTCCTGAGATATCAAAGATAGATGTCAAAGTCAAAAATAAGGTAAGAACAGTGCATATTTTGCCGCTAAATCACGCTACCGTTGAGTTAAATTTGTAACCAATATTTGCAAAACAACTACCAGATTATTATACATCATAGAAAAGGTTATCTTGTAAGCTATCCGAAAATGAAAACAATTGGGAAATTTGATTTAAAAATAAATATTGAAAAATTATATCAATGAACATAATTTTTTTAACCCTCCGTTACTCGCGCCAATTTTTGTAACACGAGTACTCGCGCGTTGTACTTTGTACAACAGTGTGAGTTATCCATTGCCATTTTGCAGCCGAGCTACCAATCGATCTGAAACCAACGGGTATTTCTTAAAAAACTTGTTTTTAACTAAATCACAGCTAACCCGCAAAAATTGCGGATAATAGAGAAAATGGAAACCGCGTAAACGATGTCCGTACTACGTGGGATTTGACTTAATTGGTTACAACATGGAAAATCTCGAGATCCTGACCAGATAGAAAGTTACTGTCTTCGGCAAAGTTGTTTTAGAGATTATAACCTTTTTGCTAGTGGATAGTAGTTCAGAATTTTCTCACTACGTAGCGCTAGAATACATGTGAAATTCTCGTATGTGATATATCTCGAGATCCTGACCAGATAGAAAGTTACTGTCTTTCACAAAGTTTTTCAGGAGGTCAAAGCCTATTGCTTGGTGTTCAATAGTTCAGAATTTGCTCACTACGCGACGCTAGTATACATGTGAAATTCTCATATAAAATATCTCGAGTTCCCAACCAGATAGAAAGGTACTGTCTTCGGCATAGTTGTTCAGGAGGTCAAGGCTTTTTCGCAGGTGGACAGTAGTTTAGAGTTTGTCACTTTGTGGCGCTACTATACATGTGAAACTCTTGCGTATAAAATATCTCTAGATCCTGACCAGATTGAAAGTAAATGTGTTCGACAAAGTTTTTCAGGAAGTCAAGATCTTTTTGTTGGGTAACAATAGTTCAGAATTTTCTCACTATGCGGCGCTGAAATATGTGCCTTTCTCGCATATTCAATAGCTCGAGATCCTGACCAGATAGAAAGTTACTGTCTTAGGTAAAGCTGTTCAGGAGATCATAGCCTTTTTGCTGGTGAACAGTAGTCCAGAAACTTCTCACTAGGTAGTGCTCGTATACATGTTAAGTTCTCGCATGTGATACATCACTAGATTCTGACCAGATAGAGAGTAAATGTCTTTGGCAAAGTTGTTCAGAAAGTCAAGATCTTTTCGTTGGTGGACAGTTGTTCAGAATTTTCTCACTACTCGGTGCTAGTAACACATGCAATTCTTGCATATACAATAGCTCGAGATCTTGAGCAGATAAAAAGTTACTGTTTTCGGCAAACTTGTTCAGGGGGTCTAGAATTTTTGGCTGGTGGACAGTAGCTCGAGATTATGAACAGGTAGAAAATTATTGTCTTTGAAAAAGTTGTTCATGAGGTCAATGCCCATTGCTTGGTGCACAATAGTTCAGAATTTTCACACTACGTGGCTTTAGTATACACGCGAAATTCTCGCATGTAAAATATCTCGAGATTCTGATCAGTTAGATTTCGCTAGTGGACAGTAGTTCACAATTTCCTCACTACGTAGCCCTAGAATACACGTGAAATTCTCGCATGTGGTTTGTTTCGAGATCCTGATCAGATAGAAACTTACTGTTACTGTGTTACTGAATGTTACTGTCTTGGGCAAAGTTGTTCAGGGAGCCAAGGCCTTTTGGATGGTGGACAGAATTTTTTTTCACATCATTGCGCTTGTATACACGTGCAATTCTCGCATTAGATGTATTTCAAGACCTGCTAAACTGTCATCGGCAATTTTTTTCAGGAGATCAAAACTTTTTCGTTGGTCAACAGTACAGAATTTTCTCACTATGCGGCACTAGGATATACGTTAAATCTTCGCATATATAATATCTCGAGATCCTGAACAGCTAGAAGTTTACTGTATTTGGCAAAGCTGTTAAGGAGATAAAGATATTTTGGCTCATGAACAGTAGTTCAGAAACTTGTTCAAAACTTGGCGGGCAATTCTCGCATATCAAATATCATAAAATAAAAATAAAATTTACATCAGCCTAAGCGGGATAAGACAGATGTATTCTGGATTTCTTTTACTGATGAAAATTTTCATGCAGATTTATAGGATACTTAAATTGGTGTAAGTATTCCACTCGTATATTTCTTATAAATTAGTGGTTTCACGTATCTCAGATGGAAAACATTATCTTAAAAGATCAATATCGCTGAAACTTCCACCAAATGAATGCTTAGAGTCTCTCATTCATTTTAGGCTAATTTCAAAATGTCTTATCGAGGGGTCTAGAATAAAAAAAATCCCTGTATTTACGTGTGCACGGACAACGAGACTAACTCAGAGACTGAGGCACTGTTGCTCAGTTGAATGGAGAAATTTATAATACCGTACACTCCCGATCATAAGTTTAAGGACACCCCCTAAAAACACCCAAAGTTACACTATTTTTAAAAATTTGAAGAACTTACTCTGAATAATCATGATTGATTTTCTCAGAATTGAATCAAAAAAAAAAATGAAATTAAAATTAGCATTTTCACCATCCGGAAGAACTTTGCCGCATATACAACTTTGACGATGACAGTTACTTCCTGACTTTAAGCTATAGCATATACAAATATTTTACATGCACACTAGCGCCGCATACCGAAAATATTCTGAACTATTTACTATTCACTAGCAAAAATGCTTTGATCTCCTAAACAACTTTGCCGAAGACAGTAATTTTCTTGCTGTTCGGGATCTCGAAGTGTAACGTATATGAGGATTGCACGTGTATACTAGCGCAGCGCAGTGAGAAAATTCTGAACTACTGTTCACCAGCCAAAAGACCTTGACCTCCTGAACCAATTTTCCGAAGACAGTAACTTTCTATTTGGTCAGGATCTCGAGGATCTATAGCATATGCGAGAAGTGTACATGTATACTAACGCCACGTTGTGAGAAAATTCTTAAATAATGCTTACCAGCCAAAAAGTCTTGACCCCCTTAACAACTTTGCCGAAGACAGTAACTTTCTAGCTGATCAAGATCTCGAGCTATTAAATAAGCGAGAAAGGCACATATTTCAGCGCCGCGTAGTGAGAAAATTCTGACCTATTGTCACCCAACAAAAAGATCTTGACTTCCTGGAAAACTTTGTCCAATACATTTACTTTCTATCTGGTCAGGATCTAGAGATATTTTATATGCAAGAGTTTCACATGTATAGTAGCGCCGCAAAGTGAGAAAACTCTGAACTACTGTCTACCTGCGAAAAAGCCTTGATCTTCTGAACAACTATGCCGAAGACAGTAACTTTCTATCTGGTTGGGAACTCGAGATATTTTATAAGAGAATTTCACATGTATACTAGCGTCGCGTAGTGAGCGAATTCGGAACTATTGAACACCAAGAAAGAGGTTTTGACCTCCTGAAAAACTTTGTGAAAGACAGTAACATTCTATCTGGTCAGGATCTCGAGATATATCACATACGAGAATTTCACATGTATTCTAGCGCTACGTAGTGAGAAAATTCTGAACTACTATCCACCAGCATAAAGCTTATAATCTCTAGAACAACTTTGCCGAAGACAGTAACTTTCTATCTGGTCAGGATCTCGAGATGTTCCATGTTGTAACCAATTAAGTCAACTCACACGTAGTACGGACATCGTTCACGCGGTTTCCATTCACATTTTCTCTATTATCCGCAATTTTTGGGGGTTAACTGTGATAAAAGTTTAGCTTGTTTAGTTAAACACAAGTTTTTTAAGGAATACCTGTTGGTTTCAGATCGATTGGTAACTTAGCAAAAAATGGCAATGGAAAACTCATGTGTGTTGTACAAAGTACAACAGCGCGAGTAACGGAGGGTTAAATAACGAAATTTTAACTTTGTTGGTCATAACCTTTCGATTCCCGTACATTCCCAGGCTAATTGTTTAGCTCTGGAGTGTGCCCTAACATGTACTGAAGGAAGTACGTGCCTCAACTTGCCCGATTGAAAAATATAGCGTTTTGAAAATTTTCGGTCATCATGGGTGATTTCAAATCGATCAAGCAGGCTCAGGCGCATAACAATTTTCATCGATTGCTAAGTGAAATATGTTGTTGTTGTTGCTAAGTGAAATATGTTGTTGTTATTTCAGAACCAACTTTAAAAAAAGGTTTGTGTTTTTTTTGCAATAAAAAAGTCATAATAGTTTTAAACTATAGCTAGCATCAATAATATGAAGTGCGCTGTTTGATGACATTAGTAGCTACCTGGCATGGTTTTAATTCATACCTAAGCTGGTATTTACATTACTGATTGAGCCGACCCCCACCCTATAAGTATAATTCTTTGAACATTTTTTTCTTCTCTTATTCCAACTTCCAGAGCTCAGGCCTTGATCCGGCGTGTGAAAGAGACTGCCGGTGGAAACTTTCAGACGATTTATATTTGGAATAACTGGCGCTTATATTTGGTGTAAACAATAGCTGCAGCAATGCAAACATTTTCCTAATTTGCAAATAATCAAACAGCGGCAATCTAGCTGCATGCAAGCCGCAGCTGGCACACGAAAAACGTGATTACCAAGCACCACTACGACGACTACTACTACTACTACGGCTACTATCGCACATGTGTAAGCGACTGAGTGCAAATACACGCACTCTGAGATCATAAACAAATACTAAGTACACGAGCGGTCCGCTTAGTCCGAAACCGACGACGAAGAAAGCGAAGAAGAGTGTCCATCCAGCCAGCCAGCCTCGTTAGTTGAATGAAAGTGACCACCGATCGCCAGCTTTCATTTTGACCTGCATAGTCATCCATGATTGATTAGCGAAGCCCTTTCGGCTTCCTTCAAGAAACTGCATCCTCCTCTGCTGCATGCCGTGCAGATGCAAAATAGTACTCATTTTAGTCGGAGTACAGCAGTGCGGTCGTCGCCGTCGCCGCCGTATATAGTTAGTGTGCTGTTATCATCGTTCAGCAGAAGAGTGGTAGTATAGAGGCAGAGTATAGTTAATATGCGTTAGTATCGCCTTAATAAGGGATAGAAGAAAAAGTCAACGACGAAGCAGGCAAGCGAAACAACGAAGCATCGGGAGAAAAGAGAAGAAGTAATAGGTACCCACCAGTCAGGAGACACATCAGATGCGTTGCAGTGGCTTCGACGTCGATAGTTTGAACCTCTCTAATAGCGGTTTTCCGATGCATCTGCGCCCGTCGAAGAAGAAGTGTGGCACATGCATGCAAGATCATTGATCTATCGGTTTTATTTATTGCGCTGTTTACTGATTTCGGTGTGTTGTTTGCTGCTGGCTGCTGCGAATAAGTGACTAGGGGAAGAAACCGAGAATGTGTGACGGCGGTGGCGTCGGAGGAGGACGTCGACGGAGGTGACCGGTTCTACATACAGTTTTGGTGCCATATCTCTCTTTCTCTCTCTCGCGTTGTTGTTGGCTGTGTGTGAGTGGCTGAGTGCTAAGTGCGTTCTGAGACGAGCCGGGTCGGCCCGCCGAGTCGATAGTGGTGAAGAGGTGAATTATTGGTGCGGGATATGTGATGTGATTGGAGATGTGTTTCAGTTTGGAGGAACAGCGGCAGCAGCGTCTTAAATTGGATTGACGAGTTGCAAGTGGCTGCGGATTGTTTGGAAGGTGAGTCCCAATGTCATTGTATTGTTGTTTGTTAGTTTGGAAGGAATGCCATGGAACGTGGAATCTCCGAAACAACAGTCGGCCAACGGCAGTCAGTGACGGTCACCGACCACGCGTCTCCATTGTAACATTTATTTGGACAGGTCTCTCCCATTTGTTCCACTCGCTTGAACAACGTTTTAATTCACAACTGCCTACATGTGAATGAAAACATCCAACAAACGACAATGTGAATTGATAACTCAACAACACATCTTGTAATGGCTCACTATTTCGGTGTGTTTCACACCTTTCTTATGAACGTATCTAATCTTTTATTTTGGGGTTATGGACTGTTTAGGTCACCCTCGTAAGATAATCCTTCCCAAGGAGCATGAATTAAGCAGCACATATTAAAGTAGTATTAGGTATTTTTTGGGAAGCATGACTACCCACAAACCACACGGATATTTTTGAAAATTGTTCACTTTACAATATGGCAGGAGCTATTTAAACCGACAGAACTCAAACACCAACATTGTATAGGGGTATACCCTTATTATGAGTTATGAGGGGAATATCGATGACCAAAGATATGTTCACCATATAACCATCAAAACTTAGCCATAAATTTTAACAGACGGGCAACTTTGGAACCTTCTGAAATATGACTGGTTTAGTATAGGGTAAATGATGGCTTCGGCACCCATTGACGGTTTTCGGCAACCAAAATTTAAACGTTTTTTCGCTGTATTGTCTCACCAAAGCACATCGCTGAATGTATTCAAACGATTCCTTAGTCTTTCAACTTTAATCTGATTACATTTTCAGTGCAAATTTTGCACGACTGAGCAAACCTGTTCTGCCAGGTTTTTCCTGAAATGAAACATACCCACGATAATAGAACAGCTGTTTAACACGCAGCTATGAGATGAGGCTATGAAAGCTTTTCTAATATTTATACAGATAGGCAGTAAGGTACCGTATGCGTGATAATGTTTGCACCATTGAGCAAAATCAAAATTAAAAAAAAAACCCCAATTTTTTTTTTCTATTTATACAAAGAGTCTCAGAGTCTTAAACTATGTTAATCATCGACTGAGTTTCCACTTGCTGCAATTACGGCCTCAACACGCTTCCGGAATGCACGGCAGGTTCTAATAATGTAGTCTGGATCCATTTCTCTCCAGGTACGGGTCAATGTTTGTCTGAGCCCTGCTGTACTCGGGTGGCGTTTAGAACAGGCCTTGGTTTTCATGACGCGCCATATTGAGTAATCCAGCGGATTAAGATCGGGGCTGGATGGCGGTCACATATCCTTCGCCCAGAACGGAAGATGTTCCTGCAATCACTTCTGAGTGCGATTCGAGGTGTAGAACGGAGCCCCATCTTGTTGAAATACAACATTTGGCTTCGGACCGTACTGTTCTTTGATCCACGGAAGAACATACTTACTTAAAATCCCGATGTAGACCTCCGTGTTGACCTTGTCGCCTTCTGGAATGAGCACCGGGTCCATTTTTCCGGAAGCCACCAATCCAAACACCATAACGCATGGTCAGATACACGTTCTTGTGCTCGTCGGCCACGTCTTTTACCGGAAGAGAACTAATATACCGGTCGGTTGTGGAATTTGATACGGGATCGACGGTAAACATGCCCTCGTGGGTGAACAGGATTACCGGATATTTTCGCCCCAGGAAGTTCAAGATTTTCTTGCATCGTTCGACTCGTAGCTCCCGGATGCGGTTGGTAATCATGTGAGTTTTTTCCATGCCATCGACTTCGCCCCGCAATCTTCCTTTACGATTTTCCGTGCCGTAAAATTTCCATTTTCCTTATTGAACGCACTGGATTCACCCGAATCTTCCTTTTGATAGCAGCGATAACCCTCGGAACCCGAGCTGACCTCAGACGACCTGTGGCCACCTTCGCGGATAGTTGTCCTTTCTTTTCTCGGTCTAAAACCTTTTTGACGGTCCACCGGGACACTCCCATGGCGATTGAAATGTCTTTTTGCGACATTTGTGCGTGGCACAAATCACGAAAAAGCTGCCACTTCGTCATGGTGCAACTGTCAAACTAAGTAAATCATTTTCTTTTATACACAGCCTACTACGGTATGAGCTATAAGTTACGTGCATGCAAAGAAAACGAAGGCATTGTATGCACAGGCAGCGTTGCCAGGTCATTTTCATTAAAATCTGAACCAGTTAAAATATAAAATCTTGAAAAATCTGGAAAGATTAAAAAAATCCTGTTTTTTAACATAATGCTATTGAAATCAAAGTGATGTGCCAATCTACCCGTAAAAATCAGTCAGTATAATAATCGGGAATTTATTCAAAGTACTAGAATGTTTATGAATTACATATTTATATAAAACAAATAACTTGTTAGCTGCTTAAATCGTCCAAAAGTTAAGAAAAGTATTGACACAGTGTGCCCAAAAAGTTTGAATGTCTATTACGCAGTATTTAAAAAAAATTGAGTTAAATCGTTGGAAAAATATTTTTAGAATTGCTTTTTAAACTGTTACTTTTGGGATGGGATGGATTTTTTAAACTAATAGTCGATGTAGTCTTTACTTTTTGATGCAGTACCATCATATGTCTTAAAGATTTTAATAGTTCTAAATAATTCTTATATTACAATGAGGTTGATCAGTCTTACAATGTAATTCTTTACATCATAGTAGGCAGTAGGCAATTTTATTTTAAAGTCAAATTCACCAGGCTGAAGTGGAAATCAAAGCCTAACATCGTGGTATTCACACACAGTTTACCTAAACTACAGGTAACTCAACTGTTTGCATTACCATTACGAATAATTTAATTATATAACTAAAATGAAAGTCTGAAAGCGGAATTTGTATGTTTTCCTGGGTCCCAGATCATGATACTTTTTGTTAGTCTGAATTTACATGGAACTCTTAACAGGATATCTTCGTCCTTTTTCAGAGTTCTATTTGAATCATCCTAGAATTCTGTCATACTTCTTTTCTGGATTCCCCTAATATAATCTTGATAATATCCAAACGTTTTCAGTAACATTTTAAGAGTTCTCTTTTTATCTTTTATAAATCACTCTCCGATTCCACAACTCCCTCAAACTAGCAATAATTTCCAAGAGTTGGCATAATATTGTTTTCATCTTTCTCTATGAAATTCCATTAGAATATTCTTAATAATTTCCTTGGCACACTCTTCAGAATGACCGTCACACTATTCTCAGACTTATACTATAATTCCCTTTGAGCTGCTTTGTAGGTAAGGTCAGAATTGTTTATGAAATCCTTATCAGTATTTGCTAAGAACTCAAATACTTTGCCAAAATGGCATTGAAAGTCTCCCAGAAATTGCCAGATGTTCTTTTGCATAATTCTGAATTTCTTAAAATTTAATAAAAATGAATCTCTATAGAAACATTGAACAGAAATCCATTGAAATTATTCTTACGATTCGTATCAGCATACTCCTCAAGTTTCATCATAAGAACATTCTTTGATTTCTCTTCCGAATTATATTTCCATTCTTCACAAAATCGCTATGCGATTGTCATCAGAGTTTTTAAAAGACAACTGACACTGTCTTCAACCAGAGATTGCACAGACTGAAAACTTTACACTAGAAAACTGACCACACACCACACCCAGTAGACCAGTAGGGAAATTTTCAGGTTGCGAATAGTTCCACTGGCTGGAACGGGAATCGAACCCTCACTTTGTGGCACTCACAATCGAGCTCACAATACGCCTGAAGTACGGGTGACACCGCACGACCACGACACTTACAAAGATGGATGGAACTCTACTCAGAATTAACTTGAAATTCTCCTTTGGTTTCGCAAAACATTTGCCTCACTTTCACTGTAAACTATTTTCAACAATAAGTTAAAAATCTGAGATTCTAGGACAATTCAGAATTCAAAAGAAATTCAGACTGCTGTTATTCAATATTCACAGGTACTTAAAAATGCTAAAAAAATATCTGATGCCTTTCAAATTTTCCTTTTGAATTATCCTCAAAAATCTCAAAAACATACTTCAAAGTCCTGGTGGTTGTCTAGATTCAAAAGTCTTGCTAATTTTCCAAGGCAGAATTTATTGTTTTCAATCCGGAACAGTTTTCGATTTCCCTAAATTGAAAAATTATTAAAATTCCTCCATATTAAAATTTTGATTTTTTTAAATATTGAAAATAAATAAAAATTCCAATGAAACAAACATTTAGGCCCACTATTTCTAAAAGTTTGAAGATTTTTTTCAGCGTATAATCTTTAGAAAATGGCTCCATTTTCATGATTCTGCAACCCATTAACATACAAACATGTTGTAACAATTCCATGTACGATGTTGTAATAATTTCTAATGTTGATGGCCTTTAATAATTAAAGAAGCAGTTTTTTTTTTATTTTTTGATTAGAGTGTAGATCAATTGCAATGATATTTTTAAAGCAACATGTTTGAACAATCTGGGAAAATCTGGAACATATTTTAAAAATCTGGAAATTTACGTGATCTGTCTGTGTATCTGGCCGGATGACCGAAAATCTGGAAAATGCAGATAAATCTGGAATACTGGCAACGCTGGCACAGGTGAAACGGGAACCTTATTTGTATGATGGTGCAAACATTATCACGCATACGGTAGTATCTAAGAACGATTGTCGGTGCACAGTTCAACAGATGACGGGGACAGTTGCTAGTGAACGGAACGTGGACTGCTATGAATCGGCCAGACGTCGAAGGTATATGATGCCAAGCTAAGGATGTCGTAGTGAAGCAGGACCGGTGGTAGCGTCGACTCAGCTAGACATTGGAAGCTTAGGATACCATGCTGACAGAGAGTTGGTGATCAATCAGACCGAAGGGCAGATGATGGCCGCTGGGAGCGTTGGAACAGCTAAAAGTCAGGATCTGGAACCATTTGTTGTACAAACAATTAGGGTCGCAGTATCACTGGCGGCTTCAGCTAGACATATACCAGTCTAAGTTACCTGACAGAGACCTGGTGATCAAC